GACATGGCAGAACTATATGAGCCGGCATTGCTCAGTGAAGGGAATAGTAACCAGGATGAGGAGATGGATGTGACAAAGGATGACAGACCTGACGTATTGGAATTGTCAGGACCTTTGACCTCCTCTGGTTCCTTATCTGATCATCAGCCGGGAATGGCTGACAGGGACGTTTTGAGGGAGTCTTCCAGTGGAGATGAGGAGGAGGGCGAGCCAGTAATTAAGGAAATTAGCTCGTTACCTCAATGACTATAAAAGGACACAGCTGGGTTGGTACAATTTGCCAGGAACAAAGTGACTGATTGCGTGGAGAATTTACAGCCGATGCTCTGAGGCTTGAGAATTTTTGCCAGGACTGGTTTGCCGAACAGAGCAAAGCTTGTTGCTGTGGACTGTGATATATGGCAGCCGTTATCTTGTGAGACTCCTTTTTGTTTGATTTACTTTTGAAACGGCTGCTTTCTGTGTTGCTCGCTTGAATTTTGAAGGGGAGTCATAACACACAGGATCCCCTTTTGGATTGGGAAAAGATCCTTGAAGATGTTCGATGAATGTCGGAAGCTCATGCTATAGATTAGTTGGGCTGGAGAGGCCTGCTTTATCCGGCTTCCGTTCAGAAAACGCTTTGTTCCTCCTAGGTTTTGAGGGCCGCTGAGCAAGCCCACCTCTGGGGAGAGCTGGTTTTCCTGTACGATAAATACGAAGAATACGATAATGCTATTATCACGATGATGAACCATCCCACGGATGCCTGGAAAGAAGGGCAGTTCAAGGACATCATCACTAAGGTAAGAGAACTTTCTCGGCGTCACTTCTTTAGGTTTCCTCTCTGATGTTCCTGCTTGGTGGGAAACGGGTTCAGGCCAGGGGTGGGTTGCTACCCGTTTGCCCCCATTCAGGCGAACCCATAGCTAGTTTTACAAGAGAACCGTAAATCCCCACCCCTGGCTGGCCCCGCCCACCCCTCCCCTCCCCCACGTGGCCCGTTTGGATGTCAGGTAAGTGCAGGACCTGTGCGGAGGCTCGAGAAGCCGGAAGTCCGGAAACAGGCCCATTTCTGACTTCCAGGGGGCCTCCAGAGCCCAGGGGAAGCCATTTTCCCTCTCCCAGAGGCTCGATGAAAGCCTCCGGAGCCCGGGCGAGGTGCAAACGGCCCCCTGCCATGGTGCAGGAGGCCGACAAGGCCAGGCTCACCATGGCCATGCACAACCAGAACGGGTTGCTGATATTTTTGAAGGCCACCCCTGGTTCAGGCATCAACTTTATATCATCTTTATATTTATATCTTCTGAAGGGTGATCTTACGAGGGTCTCTCTTGCCGACTGGGGGATTCTGAGAGTTGAAGCCCACAGGGTCTTAAAGTTGCATTGAATAGTCCAAAGGACACATTCTGGCCAGAGAGATGTTCCCTGAGGATGGGGGCTCCAGCACGAGTCCGAAACCTTGGAAGACTAAACCTCTGGTCCTGGTGATGGCCCTCATTGGATCCTGCAACATCCTGGGACACATACTGTGTATTTGCCATCCTTCATGGGGTCTTAAAAGTGGCCACAGTTGAGAAACACTGTCACCAGATAGAAATACTAGATATCCCAGTCCAGTCCAATTTATCTTAAAAGCAAGGAAAACCACTCAACCCCAAAGCCCTTGGAGCACGTGCAGAGAATGTATTCTTTTATCCCCCCCTTTTTTTATCCTGTGGGCAACCTGTGATGAGCCCAACAAAATGGAGAAGTCCAATGAATAGAGCTGCCAGGCAATTCCAAACCATACAGACTTAACTCGGTGGTTTTAAAAGCAGCTGGGCAAGAATGCAGCCCTTTGAGGGAGGCTGTGGACGATGTCAAGGTCTGATGAAGAGTGAGTTTGGCTGGGGGAGTTGCGTTACTTGTATCGCCCTCATTCGGAGGTGTTTTTTTGCAAACGTGCAACAGTGACACTCACTTCTTGCCTGTCCTCCTTGCAGGTGGCGAATGTGGAGCTTTACTACAAAGCGATTCAGTTTTACCTAGAATTTAAACCTCTGCTGCTCAACGACTTACTGATGGTGCTTTCACCACGGCTGGATCATACCCGTGCAGTCAATTTCTTTAGTAAGGTAAGGTAAAATTCAAAGGTTTTTTTTCTTTCTTTCTTTGCTCTCGGGAAGTTTTTTAATTTGTTTATTTATTTATATCCCTCCATTATTATGTTTTAAGTAACTTAAGTTGGCACACTATACTTCCTCTTCCTCCTTTTTTCCTGACAACAGCAACCCTGTGAGATGGGTTAGGCTGAGAGAGAGTGACTGGCCCAAAGTCACCCAGCTGGCTTTCATGCCTAGAGCGGAACTAGAACTCACCGTCTCCTAGTAATAGATCCAATATCACACAGCCATCTTTTATGGCTATGACTAGAAGTCGCCACCTCCTGGTGAATGGCCCAGAGTCACCCAGCAGGCTTTTGTGCCTAAGGCAGGACTAGAACTCACTGTCTCCTGGTGATTTCCCCAAGGTCATCCAGACAGCTTTCATGCCTAAGGCAGGAGTAGAACTCGCCTCCTGCTGGATTTTAGCTTGATGCCTTAACAGTGAAGGTGTGTTCCCTGAACAGGTGAAGCAACTTCCGCTGGTGAAGCCCTACCTGCGCTCGGTGCAGAACCACAATAACAAATCAGTGAATGAGTCCCTCAACAACCTCTTCATTACAGAAGAAGATTACCAGGTAGGAGACCGTTTCCGGGGCCCATCCTGGAATTCGGGTCGAGGCGCCTGGCGGCTTGGGGAAGGTGGGATGCAGGCTGGCGACCTCCCAATGTTCAGACATTGTAGGGTGGCCATTTCCTAAGCTTCAGTTACAGTGCCGGCTTGTGTCACACCTGTCCAGGCTCTTCGGACATCGATAGACGCCTACGACAACTTCGACAACATCTCCCTCGCCCAGCGCCTGGAGAAACACGAGCTGATAGAGTTTAGGAGAATCGCCGCCTATCTCTTCAAAGGGAACAACCGCTGGAAGCAAAGCGTAGAACTCTGCAAAAAAGACCGACTGTACAAGGTACCGGAGTTCCAAGGACAACCGCATCTGCCAGCGGGAAAGGCGGTGGGGCAGTGGATGAGTTCAGGAAGAGCTCGCTCAGCATCCCTGGCGGCGCAGTGGTTAGGATGCAGTCTTGCAGGCTAACTCTGCCCACAGCCTGGAGGTTCGATTCTGACTGGCTCAGGGTCAACTCGGCCTTCCATCCTTCCGAAGTCAGTAAAATGAGAAGCCAGATTGTTGGGGGCAAGAGGCTGACTCTGTCACTCTGGAGCAGAACAGAGAGTCCTTGGCTTATTGTAGTTCACTTAGTGACCATTCAAAGTTACAACGGCATTGTAAAAAGTGACTTATAACCATCTTCATACTTAACAACTGTTGTAGTGTCCCTAAGGTCATGCGATCAGAATTCGGACCCTTGGCAACCGTTTCATATTTATGACGGTCGCAATATCTCGGACTCACGGGATCAACTTTTGCGACCTTCTGACGAGCAAAGTCAATGGGGGAAGCCAGAGTCACATAGCAACTGCAGTGATTCACTTAAGCGCCGGGGCAAGAAAGGTCACAAAATGGGGCAAAATTCACATAACTAAAGGTCTTGCTTGGCAACAGAAATCCGGGGCTCCGTTGTGGCCGTAAGCCAAGGACTACCCGCGTATAAGTCTAAATGCTGTTGCTGTTATTAATAAGAGACCAACAGGCCGATGCCTTTAAGAATCTGGTGGGACTACTAGTCAGTCTACGGTTAGAGCCAGTGGGTTCCTCTGTTGGGCTGGAGTCCCGTCCTTGATGGGACCTTGTTTGTTCTCCTCCCCTCCCTCCCTCCCAGGACGCCATGCAATACGCCTCAGAGTCCAAAGACACGGAGCTGGCGGAGGAATTGCTGCAGTGGTTCCTCCAGGAAGGCAAGCAAGAATGTTTTGGCGCCTGTCTCTTTACCTGCTACGATCTTCTCCGGCCCGACGTGGTCTTGGAAACCGCCTGGAGACACAACATCATGGACTTTGCCATGCCCTACTTCATTCAGGTCATGAAGGAATACTTGAGCAAGGTAAGGGTCCTGGCCTCCTCCCCCTCCTCCTCTTCCTCCTCCCCACCTGTCCCAGATCCCTTTGTCTGTCACTTGCTCGCTGTGCCTTTCTTGTGGGGACTCTCAGCTCTTGAAAAAAATGGGCCCTCCCTGAACGTCTCCTCTCTGTCGATGCCGGCCCTCCTTTCTCCATCAAAATGTCTGTTGGATTCTTTGATACGCAGTAGGGGGCCTAGCCAGGGGACTGGGTTCTGTTTTTTTTTAATACAGGTAGTCCTTGACTTACAACTGTTCATTCAGTGACCATTTGAAGTTACAGTGGCGCTCGAAAAAGGTGAATTTACGACTGTTTTTTCACACTTATGACCGCTGCAGCATCCCCAGGGTCACGTGATCAAAATCCAGACGCTTGGCAACTGATTCATACTTATGACTGTTGCCGTGTCCTGGGGGGGGTCATGTGATCCCTCCTGAGAAGCAAAGTCAGTGGGGAAGCTGGATTCTCTTAACAACTGCAGTGATTCCTTTAACCACTATGGCAAGAAAGGTCGTAAAATGAGACAAAATTCACTGAACAAATATCTCACTTAGCAACAGAAATTCTGGGCTCAATGGAGGTTGTAAGGCGAGGACTACCTATATTTTCTCTCTCTCAGCCACAGTAAATCTGCCAAATTTGGGACAGTAAAACTGGAATTGGGCCCCTGTGGTTAGTTTCCAACCTCACCTGTTAAGAAGCCTTCTGTGTCCTTGCCGAAAGAGGATTTTTGGAGACACTGGATGGTTGTCCCAAGAGGCAACTGGACTTTCTGTTTTTTTTTTTTTTTGAAGATGTTTCACTTTTCATCCAAGCAGCTTCTTCAGCTCTGACTGGATGGTGGTAAATGGAAGGAATTATATTCCTTGCAGACAACTGGTCATTTGCATTCATACTGGGAGTCGTTGATGCCACTTGGAGGCTCTTCTGTGTCCTCAGGGTCACCTGAGAGAGGTGCTCCTGGTTCCTGTAGTCTGCAGTTTTTCCTCTGGAGATCCATTCATACTCACACACCCCACTTGAAGGATGTTCATCCCAAATTGCATAGCTAAAAGTCTGTAGAGATTCTCAGTCATCTACCATCCAGTCTTGGGTGAGAAGCAAAACGTCTTCGAAGAAAAACCAGCAAGTCCAGTTGCCTCCTGGAAAAGCACCTTTGGGACAACCATGACCTGGATATGAGTGAGAATCTCGACAGACCACTGGATGATTAGCTGTGGTTCACTGATAAAAATAAACCCCCGCTGACTCTTTCAGCCCTCCGCTTGCCTGTGCTGGAAGAAGTGGCGGTGATGAATCCCCTTTGCTTGAGAGTGGGACCAGTGTCTAGAAGCGCCAGGCTGTTAGGCTCAAGGGGGCTTCTCCCTCAAATTCTCCCTTTTTTGCACACTTTGTGCATGGAGATGTCCTCTACAGCGGATCCTGATCTACTCTTTCAGTCTGAAATTGAACAGTTGATTTCCAGTCTGGAAATCTTGAGCCTGGGTAGATCAAGTCTTTGGCTTTCGCTGTGCTTGATTCTGGCCGTGATTGAAGACATGAAGCACTTTGAATATTCCAAACATATTGGCATAATTTGGGGATTGAGAATCCTGCCAACTCGGGGTGGGGGGGGGGGCGGAAAGTCTGAAAGCATAGCTCTACAGCCCAGATTGACAGAGGGAAATTCTAGGTTACATGAGAGTTGAGGAGTTTTTCCCTTGTTTTGGGCAGTCTGAATTGTTTCTAAAACGTGTGGTGGATTTTCCCTATTTTGTTTGGGCTGGGAGGGAAAAAAAAATCTGTCCTTAGGAAATACAACACGAAAGCCAGCAGCACAGCAGAAGAGGTTTAACCCACAGCTTGTGGCACTTAAAAAGCTTGAGTTTGGGTGTTCTAATAGGATTAGTAGCAGACAGCATATGGTTTATGGTTAAGCATGCTGAAACTTAGGAAATAACTAATATAACTAGGTGACCAGTGCAAAGGGTTCTAAATAAGAATATGAATTATGTGGCCTCAAACCCCACACCCAACCCCTTTCCCAAATTCATTCCTGAAATGCTGGGTTAGAAAAGGACCCGCATCACCTCTGCATCATTCAGGAATAAATATCCTTCGAAGCAGTAAACTTTGAGCACTTTTACCACCTGGTCCAAAATAACTCCAGGTTTTAACATCTCTAGGGCAGCTCTCAGAATTCCCCAGCTGGTTCATACTTCTTAAAAGTTGCTCAGGTTGAGATACACTAATTTGGAGTTTTAACCCCCAGGTTTGCCTTTCTCTTTGCATGCTGTCCTTTGCATAACATTACCTGTTCAACCATGGAAGCGTAAGGACTTTGGCAGCAAAGGCGGCCTTTTGAGTTTTAAGCCTCTCCCTGCCCTCCCTTTTACTTGCTCTCTGTTAATTCTAAAAATGCAAAAATATTGGGATTTCTTTTTCCTCTAAGCTGCACCTTCTGAATTCCTTTGCAGGTTGATACAATAAAGGAAAAGGTGAAAGTTGGTTCTTTTCCATCTTTTTTTTAAAGCCTGGAGGCCTAAGTCTTAAGGATATCTGCATGAGTTTTATTTTATTTTATTTTAGTTTTCCTTTTTTTCTACCTTCCCTACACTGCTGCTACTGCTTTCTGCCCGCCCCTTTGAAAAAAAAAAAACCTCACTAAAAAAAGCCTCTGCAAGTTAAAAACCAGAGCCATAGCTCTAGGGCAGAACCGTAGACACTAATTGGCTCATCCAACTCTCCAGGAAGGTTAGAAACCACCTGCCGGACCCCAGGCATTTAACCCTGTCCCAAGAAACCTCGAAAAAGAAGGAACAGGGAAAGCTGGGGAGGTTGCTTAACCGATTCTCCCTGAAGGGTGGCAGGGCAGGGTGGGGTGGCGATTGGGTTCCCCCTTGGATGCTCTGTGTTTTCCCCTCCCTGGAGAGGATCGTGACCACGACAGTCTTACTAACTTGTCTTGCTGAGAGTAGCTAGCTGCTTAGAGACCTCCCCCCCCTCGTATCACACCAGCCAGGCCTCTGCCTCTCTGGTCCCATCTGGCTGCTTCCTATTCCCAGCAGGAGTCGCTTTCCAAGGCTTGGGTCTTCCCATTGATGGATTCCAAGGCCCGAATCGTCCCTTCAGTTGCAAGGCCTGTGTCTTTCCGTCAATTGATTGCATGGCCCTTGTCTTCCCCTTGATTGCAAGGCCCGGATCTTCCCATTGGCTCCTTGGACACAGGTCTTCCCATCAATTTGTCTTGCCTTCGCCCCCCCCAGAACCTCCCAGGCCCGGTTTAAGCCCAGAGCCAAGGCCTCCACTTCCCGAAGCCGAGCCATTCTTCCCGCTCAGTAGCATTTCCCCCCAAATTCAGCACCCGCTTTCTGCAGATGTGCCGCTTCCCTCTTCATCAGACAATTGGGCTACAACACTCAAAACGTGCCCACCCTTTGCCCACCCCCCCCTCACTCACCCCACCCCCACCCCAAAAACAGTCTGGAATCGGCCCGTGCTCCAACTTTTACCCAATGCCCCCCAAAGTCCTCCAGCAGCTAGCAGGTCCAAGGCAGGGCCCGTGTGGTGTGAAAAAAAGGTACATGAACTGCAGTGTTTGCTTTTCTGAACTGAGCATGTCCGGCCATCATTTGTGATATACATCTCACTTTCCCTAAGCTGCAAAGCATTGCTGTGGAAAGCGGGCGCAGTGGGGGGGCGGGGGCCTGTTTCTGCGTGCCGTGAACTTTTGGGGGGGCTGGGGGGGGGAAGGCTGGCTGGAGGGAGGCGCCTGGCCGCCATCTTCCAACTTCACTCCTTTGCTTCTTCAGTTCCTTTGCCTTTTTTCCATGCACATAGAACACCAAATCTCTAGCATTGACCGCATGTGGTTCATCCTTTCTTTTCTTTCTTTCGTTCTTTCTCTCTCTCTCTCTTTCCTCCTCCCTTTTTTTTTTTTTTACTTTTCTCCCTTCTGCAGTCATTGCAGTCTCCGTGGAAAAGCCTTTTCTTTTTCTTTTTTTCCTTTTTACAAGGAACGGTTTACCGTTATAAATAAAACCGCAGGGCATCCGATGACGTGGTTCCGATCGAGCGCACTAGCTCTCCACGGTTGAAACCAGATTGTTGGTGGATTCTTTTTTTAAAAAAAAAAAAAACAACCCCAAAAACTGGTGTTTCTTCGAAGCCATCGGGGAAAACAACAACAACCAGCAACCACCACAGCCAGATTGGCAGTTGTGGAAGATCTCTGGTTATCTCCTGCTTAGCTTTATCCTTTTATCTAGAACCGTTACCTCTTAGCACCTTACAACATTTTTTCCACTGATATTTTCCTTCTCCGCAGTAGCAGGTTTTCCAGCCTAAATGTTTGGTTTTCTAGGAATAAAGGATCTGAACAGAAATTTAAAACAAAGCTGGCATAGGGTTGACTGGATATGTCCTCAACTTACAATACTTCACTTAGTGAATGTTCGAAGTTACAACGGCACTAATAAAAGTGACTTACGATTGTTTTTCGCACTTACGACTGTTGCGGCATGCCCACGGTCCCATGGTCAAAATTCAGACGGCTTGGCAACTGACTCATATTTATGACGGTTACAACGTCCCGGGGTCAGGTGATCCCTTTTTTACGACGTGACAACGGGAGAAGCCAGATTCAATTAACAACCGTTGTTAACTAAATTTACAATGGAAGTGATTCATTTAATGAACGTGGTGAGAAACCTTGTAAAATGGGGCAGAATTGATTGAACAAATGTCTCGCTTAGCAACAGAAATTTTGGGCTCAATTGTGGTCGTACGTCGAGGACTACCATCCTCACCTGCTCTTGCGTGCGTGTGGATGTGTGTTTTGTGTGTGTGTGCGTGCATGCGAGCTCTGTGCTTTGGTTTCAGGGGCCATTATTTTGCGAAGACTATTTCAAATGCTTCTTGCTGTAGATACCTTTAGCATAATAAAACACATTTTTTGGGGGGGGGAGTTAGGGTTAGGAAAAGGAAAAAGTTTGCTATATTGATGAAAGGGGGGAAGTTTGTGAGTTCAGGAGGAACTTCTGTCTTCAAGCAAAAGCTAGATAAGCCTTACTTTTCAGAGGGTTTATCAAAAGAGGGTTGATCCAGCCTAGCAAGATTTCTCCTATGTTCTCCTAATAGGTATGGAATGGCTCCTATGGCCTAGTGAACTGGTGGTTGTTGTGTAAATGGGGAGATCTAAATCCAGATGCATAAAACTACCGTCAAACCATGCTGACCATCCATCGAACAAGTGACATGCTGTTAAATGCTAATTTAAAATACCTCCGTAGCCTTTTTGTTCTTAAGTTGAAAATTGCTGTGCTTAGAAGAGGGATTTCTGCATGAGATAGTTCCCACATGGAGTGCTTCATTTCATTTCATTTCATTTCATTTCATTTCATTTCATTTCATTCATTCATTCATTCATTTCATTCATTCCATTTGTTCTATCCATTTGTTCTGTCCATTCATGCATTCATTCCTACCTACCTATATGGCACATCTCACCTAAATGGCTTTGGGTGGCTTTAGAGCAGGGGCGTCCTACCTTCAAGACCTGTGGACCTGTGGACTTCAACTCCCAGAATTCCTCAGCCAGCTATGCTGGCTGAAGAATTCTGGGAGTTGAAGTCCACAGATCCTAAAGTTGCCAGGGTTTAGAGCATCCTGCCTGTGCTTCTCATGCCCTAGGGCAGTGTTTCACAACCTTAACAACTTTAAAATGTGTGGCCTTCGACTACCAGAATTCCCCAGTCAATCACATATCTTAAATTTGCTAATGTTGAGAAACACTATTCCTAAAGAGCTGGTTTCCAGGAGAGCTAGCAAAACAGGTTGGCTATAGAAAATGACCAAGCTGAGCCTGAAGGTGGGGTCAAGCACGTCATCAGTCTCGAATCCCTTTGCGCCCACAAGAAGTCCAGCCTACCTTGAATTCTTTTCATTCTTATCTCCCACCAATTTGCTTTGGCTGTTAGTAGTTCAGATTCTTGTAGAGAGCTTGAGCGTGCCACAAACCCTCCTGTACACCTTTGAAGTGCCTGGGTTTCCTGCTTTCTCTGGCACTTGCCATTGGCTCGGGTCAAAGCTGTGCAAATGACGCCAGGGAAAGCTTGATGGGAAGAAGGAAGGGGATACGGCGAGGCGATTGGATGGCTTTAGCAAATTCCCCAGAAACTTGGTACGTCAATTTGGTCCACCCAATTGGTTCCCTGCCATCTCTTCACCCAAGGTGCGAGCTAGGCTTGAAGGCCTCCAGCAGCGAAAGCTCCACCACCACCACCACCTCCACGCTGAAGGCTCTTCAGGAGAACCTCTTGGACACCTCCTGCAAATCCGGTGGCCCGTTTAGACCGCCGACAGTCCCCTCCCCGACTTGGGTTCCTTTTTATTTTGTCAGTGATTTCCTTTCTCTGACTGTGTTTCATGCCCCCTGAAGGCTTTTCCACTTCTCTGCCAGCAAATGTAGGATGCTGAATCCTAGCCAGGTGGTTTCTCCTGATCTTTGGGGTTCTTCTGTTCTCCTAGGTGGACAAGCTGGATGCCTCAGAATCGCTGAGGAAAGAGGAAGAGCAGGCGACGGAGACCCAGCCCATTGTTTACGGTAAGCCTGCCCTTGGCTTGCAATACACGCAACCATCCCCTTATTCCCTTTTCGGATGGAGAACATTAGGCAGAACATAGAAGAGGAACGAGAAGTAATAAATAATAGCAATAGCACTTAGACTTATATACCGCTTCACAGTGCTTTTACAGCCCTCTCTAAGCGGTTTTACAGAGTCAGCCTATCGCCCTCAAAAATCTGGCTCCTCCATTTTACTGACCTCTGAAGGATGGAAGGCTGAGTCAACCTTGAGCAGGTCAGGATTGAACTCCAGACTCTGGGCAGAGTTAGCCTGCAATATTACATCCATCCACTGTGCCACATATTCTCAGGGGTGTTGCTTTGTGCAACGCCCTCCAGACCAACAGTGGAGATTGTGGGCTTCCGTTTAATGCTTTGGTGTGGCCATTTCCACGCCTGGCCTCTGCAGGGAGGGAATCTCAGGCTGTCAATATTTCAGGATGGGCCTAGTCTTAAAAACACAGCGCTTTTAACCCTTTGCTCCATTGTCTGTCTTTCTTTCCCTTCCTTAGGTCAGCCCCAGCTCATGTTGACGGCTGGCCCCAGCGTGGCGGTCCCTCCACAAGCACCTTTTGGTTACGGCTACACCGCACCTCCATATGGGCAACCCCAACCCGGGTTTGGATACAGCATGTAAGGAAGCCAGCGGGGAGCCAGCATCCTTTTGTGGAACCTCCACCATCCCTCTCACGCCTGACTCCGCAGGGAAAACAAAAGAAACAAACCTTGTGTCCTCGTAACATTTATTTTATGAAGGACTGTGTTTTTCTGTTTGTTCCTCCTCTCTCCCTCCCTTTCTTCCTTCTTCCTTCCCTCCTTCCCTCTCCCCCGCAAGCTCTCCAGATCCCTCCTTCCCTAAATGCCAACTCCCTCTTTCTTCACATTCCACATCTTCCACCCCACCCCCCTCCGGTGGGAATACTTTTAAATGTTCCAGCAGGCTTCTCCCCACCCACCAACCCTTATTATTATTATTATTTTTTTGCAAAATTGCTTCTGACATGAAACATCCCGCACCCCTCATCCCAGCTTTCTCTTCCCATTTGCACTCTTGGAAAAAGCGTTCTGGTCTCTTTCGGTCCGGGGTCCATGAGCAGTTTGTAAGTGTGTGTCGTTTCCGTCCTCCGTCCCCCCGCCCAATGTTTTAAAAAGTGGCATATTCTGAACAGAAGGGGCAGAGGTGGTGAAAGGAAGATTTATTGAGTTGGTGCATTTGAAACACTAAAAGGAAAATTTTTGGATGGCTTGGCTCTTGAAATCAGTAAAATTGGAGAGAGAGAGAGAGAGAGAGAGCTCGCAGATAAGATACCGAAAACCTGTCCTGTATTTTTAAAAAAAACACGACCCACTTAATAGAGGCTCCATTTAAACCTGTGCAGGTTTCCAGTTTAGATGTACAGAAAACGCCAATGTTTTTTGCTCACTCCGTGTGTAATCCCACCGATCCTTCCGTTGTGCTAGTGCGCTTTTTTCTTTTTGTGGGGACCATTTTATATTCCACTTGAGGAACAAGACGCAGGAAGGGTGGGGGAGGGCACCATAAATCCAATCTTGCGTGTTTCTGACTAACCTCGCTCTCCAGTTTGTGTATGTTGGATATTGTGGTGTTTCCAAATCACTTCCCCCTCTCCCTTCCCCTCCCCTGAGTGTACAGAAGAAAGAGAGAGAGAGAGAGAGAATTGAAGGGGGCGTTTGGGAAACCCCAATGGTTGGTTCAGTTTTGCTTGTGCAATTGAAAAAAAATATGACTCAAATTGGAAAAAAAAAAGATAATAAACGACTGGACTGTGGATATCCTCTATAGTAGTTTTTCAGTATGTATGTCTTCAAACTCCTTTATAATGTATGCGCTTGGCCTCAAAGCAACAAAATAAAACAAAACTACCAATATTTATAAATATAAAGTTTGGCAGTGTTCTTCAGGTCCAAAAGCAGGAACTAGCAACTTAGCAAATGTTTGTTTTTCCAACTTCTGACTGTGGAGTGGATCTTGGACAGGTGACTTGCACTGATGGAGATTCCTTGAGATGAATGGGAAATGCTTGGAGCTATAAACGAGGAAAAAATCGATGGCACTTTTTCAAGCCTTCAGCTGGGCCTGAGCCTCTGAAAGGCATTCTTCTTCCCAACAAAACAAAACAAAACAAAACAAAAATCTTTAGGGTTGTAGTTTTGAGTGTTTCCAGTTTTAAATCTGACAAAAGATCATGTTATAGGTATGTTAAGTTGCCTTAATATATTTAGCTTCGAAATAAAATTTGACTTAAATGTTCAACGCTGTTTTGAATTAGTGTCCTGTTTACTCAATGCAAATGGCCTCCTGCGGGTGGAATGAGAGCTCCAGATTTCATGTGGATCCAACAGGTATGAGATTTAATAAAAGGGGGTATCTGTTGCATGGACGGGTAGTCCTCGATTTACATTCGCTGAACGACCGAAGTTACAACAGCACTGAAAAATGTGACGTAAGAGTGGTCCGTCCTCACACCTGTAACCGTTACGCCTTTCCCTAGAGTCATGTGATCCAAATCTGAGGTCTTGGCAACTTGACATGTATTTGTGATGATTGCAGCATCCCAGGGTCATGTGAACGATGTTCCCAGCCAGCTTCCGATAAGCAAAACCAATGGCGGAAGCCAGATTCACTTAGCAGCTAACGAGTGAAATGCTTTAACTATGACAAAAGTAATAGTAAGGTGCGAACTTCATCACTACCTTGTTTACGCAACGGAAATTCTGGTTCCATTTCTGGTCGAAAGTCGAGGACTTTAGTCAGTAAGCAGTTAGAATTTAGTTGAAATTAATCCCAGGCCCTTCCTAGCACTAAAGTCGGCTACAAGACGGGGAATACCACAAATTAGAAAGGATTGAGTTTCGTGCAGGAGAGACCTGGATGGCTAAACAATCTGAAGGCAGTAGAGATCAGCTCTGAGAAAAGCATTTGAAGGAGGGAGGATTCAAAACTGCCTCTCAATGAAAGGTGAAAATGGCCATATCCTTCCGCAAACCTATACGGCTGCCTTCAAAAGCATCTGTTGCCGCCTCATCAGAAACTATCCCTCCGGGGTAGGCCGGATTAGGAAATCAAATGTCACGCAGGTCAATAGTCTTTTACCTAGGAGGCTATGGGCACAAATCTTTAAAGTCCGAATGTGCTTCCTCCAGAGGTGGTATTCAGCAGGTTCTGACCAGTTATGGAGAACCAGTGGTGGAAATTTTGAGTAGTTCAGAGAACTGGGAAATACCACCTCTGACTGGCCATCTCTTCTAGTCCCAGCTGATCGGCTGGGTCTTCTTTTGTTGCCCTGCACAGGAGAATGGAGCTGGAAAGCAGGTTAGTGGGGTGGGAAGGGAATGGGGATTTTGCAGTAACCTTCCCCTGCCACGCCCACAAAACTGGTAGTAAATTTTTTGAATCCCACCACTGACTTCCTCCCCTCCTCTCCCCTTGCCCCCTCTACCATTGCGAAAATTAGGGTTTTGTCTGAGACGCTTTCTCAAATTCTGTCCCCGACTCAGGATTATTTTTAGTATTGCGCGTGCGCACACGCACACTGGCGTGTTGGCTTAGTGGTGAAGACGCCCACCTCCCACTCGGAAGGTTGAGAAGTCAATCCTAAATGGCTGCAGATAATTTCTCTCCTAAGATGCAAGGAGAACTGTGAACTCTGTGTAGGCGTCAAGAAGGGCCTCTGACCAGTAAATGCCCGCTCCATCCTGTTGCCCCCGACTACCCTGAATTAAGGGAGTACAGGGTTGTAAAAAGGGGAGTTACACACACACACACTTCTTATCCCTATGACTACTCTTCCTCACTCGGGGAAGAAGTCTACCAGAAGTCTGGGGGTTTGTGCGGGATCTTAGCTGTGCCTTGCACCGTGCACTTCTCTGGACAGAGAGCACCGATGTCATTCCCAGCGGGATCTGCTGGAGCCCCTCTCCCAGCATTGGCCTTGACTTTTCACACCCTCTTGAGTTTGTCCTTCAGGCAGCAGTCCTTCTCCAGCTTCTCATCCTCCTTCCTAACGTTGCTGTCCGTTGGTTACACGTATCTATCATACATACCTATGAGGCTTTTCCTCCTGTTCCTCGAGGTCATTCCGCCTCCCCATTTCACAAACATGTATATGCACAGATGTCTATAGATATATTGAAAGTGTGGCAGATGCCCTGTCCAATTCCCCCCTCCCCTTCAGCTGTGCAGGAGAGATGCTTCCTTGCTTTCAAGACAAATAAACAAGAAAGCAGTTACTCTCCAGATGGCACAGAGCCACATTCCCCCAGCGTTTACAGGGCCTGGTGGAGCACGGGAGTTGTCATCTCGACAACATCTGGAAAGGGGCACCTTCAAGATGCCTCATTCCTGGAGGCTCCATTTCTGAACAATTGTGTGATAAGTTAGTATGTGGGAAGAAAGCAGCAGAGGGCTCTGTGTGTGTGTGTGTGTGTGTGCAGTTTCTGTACACCTTGTCAGAAAAGCTGGAGGTGGCCACGGAACTTCCCAACGTACAACCGCATCACACCACTTGGGTTGCAGGCTATTGCATCAGTTGCTTTCTGGCGTAAATATTTCAAGCCGAGGCAGTTGCCAATGGAGCAACCGCTGGTGTATTTTGAATCTGGTCTAGCCTTATTCCCCCATGAGCAAAAAACCAGGCTACCTTCTCAAGATACTTGGAAAGTTGAGGGTGGCGGCTCTAATTGCTCTTTCTTGGAGCAACCCAAATCCTTTTGCAGAATTTACACTTGGCCAACAGAGTTGGTGACAGCCAGTTTGGTGTAGTGGTTAAGGCACCAGACTAAAAAATGGAAGACGGTTAGTTCAAAGCCTGCCATACCCCCATAAAAGCCAGCTGGGTGACTGGGCTAATCACCAGAAGACTGTGAGTTCTAGTTTGTATTAGATGTAAAAAGCCAGCTGGGTGACTTTGGGCCACACACACTCAGCCCTATCTATCTCACAGGGTTGTTGTGAGGAAAATAGGAAGTATTGTGTGTGTGTTAAATGCAGGATAAAAATCTAACACAGGTAGTTCATTTAGTGACCAAAGTTACAATCTGAATGAAAAAAGTGAGTTAAGACTGTTTTTTTCACACTTAACACCATTGCAGCATCCCCATGGCCACATGATCAAAATTCAAATGCTTGGCAACTGACTCATATTTATGACGATTGCAGCGTCCAGAGGTCATGACATCCCCTTTTGCAACCTTCTGACAAGCCAAGTTGATGGGTAAACCAGTTTCATCTAAGCATCGTGTTGCTGATTTACCAACTGCAGTGATTCACTTAACAGTGGCAAAAGGAGTCGTAAAATGGGAAAAGACTCACTTAACAAATGTTTCACTTAGCCACAGAAATGGGCTCAATTGGGGCCATAAGTCGAGGACTACCTGTACAGTGGTATGCCATTGTTCATTGGTTCAGGAGGCACGAGGAGTATCAAAAACAATGAGTACCAAACAAATTTTTTAACGTAAGGAATAATGTAGTGAGTCACATGTAGACTGACAGGAACCAATTCTAGCTTGTGTGTTGGGTACCAAACAAACAGTGTTGTGGCCTGCCAGCGGCTAGCGGAGCTGGCAGCAGAGTTGGACAGTGAGGAGGTTGGGGAGGAAAACGGGCCAGTCCTGGAGGCTGAGGAAGGCTTGGACGAGGGCTCTGCATCAGAGGCAGAGATGGGGCCAGGGCAGTCTGGCAGTTGTCAGCTGCCTTCAGAATCAGACAGCAGTGAGGCGAAGGAGCAGCTGGAGCCTGTTCCCAGCCTGCACATGCACAGAGCTGCCAAAAGAAAAGAACAATTACGAACTAAGGGTTGACGTGGGAGTAAAGCCACAGGTAGATGGTGAAGGACCCCCTCCATAGGGATTACAAGAGGAACAAAAGGGGAGGGGGCTTTTGCAAGAAACAATTTGTTCGTTGCAGCTGTGTGAAGATCTGTCTGTGCATCTCAGAGACTGTGCCGAGTCCTTCCTTGTCAGCACTGCGTTTGGAAATACTTACTTGGCAGCTCTCCAAGCTAGATAAGGTCTGTGCTCCTCATTACACCCTTGAAAGGCTGTTTGCCAGGCCTTTGGCTGAATGTGAATGCAAGAAATTCACCTTCGTTTAATAATAAAAGGGGTTTTTCTGGGACAAAGGGTTTGCTTAATGCATTTTGGAGAAGCCTAGGTCAGAACAGATGGGTACCAGGACAAAATTTTCCTGTCAAGGTGGTTTGAGTGCAAAATTCAATGAGAGTCAAAGCAGGTGAGCACCAAGGTACCAACACGATAACAAAAGTCTTTGAAGAGTGCCCAGATTGCGGGGTGTATTCCTACAACAAACATTACATGGATTTCGGAGGCCCAATCTCAGGATCTCCAAAGCTTTGTGGCTTGGGGAAACATTTGGCATTCTTGAGATGATGTGACTGCAATCATGTGTTCAGGTGGTGCAGCTGCTTCCAAGCGGGATGCCTGTTGTGAGGAATTAACCATTTGCATAGTAGTTTTCCCTCTTTTTAGACAGAAAAACAGATAAAGGTACTTCTCAGCTTATAAACATAATGGGACCTGCCCATCAGTTGTGATTTGTGTTGGTCTTAAATTGGGTGACTAACCCAATTTTACGACCTTTTTTGCAGTGGTCATTAAGTGAGATCTGTGCCAAAAAGACGAGTAAATGCTGGTTTTGGGCAAAACCACAGTAAAATGTGGTCATGTAACTGCAGGTTGCTGCAAATGGTGGTAAATGCAGGCTGGTGGCTAACCGACATGGCTGTGAGCACTTGCGAGACACAAGCTGCATTTGCACAGCACACTTAAACCAGCTCAGTCACAAATTTGCTCTTCTTTTTTTTTGAGGTGTGAAATATTCATTACTTTTAAATTGACAGCTTAAGTGTGTTCTGCAAACAGCCCACATGATTTTAGTTCATGATTTAATGTATTGTCCGAACCCAGAAAATAAGATTAATCTAGTAACCAAATTGTTTGTTAAACCAATACAGGCAGTCCTCAACTTACAACAGTTCACTTAATGACTGTTTGAAGTTACAATGGCACTGAAAAAAGTGACTTACAACCATTTTTCAAACTTCCAATCTTTGCTGCATCCTCATGGTCATGTGATCAAAATTCAAATGCTTGGCAACTGACTCATATTTATAATGGTTGCAGCGTCCCAAGGTCATGTGATCCCCTTTTGCCACCTTCTGGCAAACAATGGGGGTCAGATTCCCTTAACAACCGGGTTATTAACTTCAACTGCAGTGATTCACTTAACA